AAACAAAAAGAAAGAAAACAAGGAAAAGAAAGAAGAAAGAAAGAAAACCGAAAGAAAGAAAACAGAAAGAAAGAAAAATAATAAAATAAAAAGAAAAAATACCAAAAAAGAAAGAAAGAAAGAAAGATAGATGAAGAAAATTTTGAAAAATGAAAAAGAAAACTTGAGAAGAAAGAAATGAAAAAGAAAGAAAATATTACAAATTAATTGGATCCTTTCATATTCATGGATAAACTTTTTGGTGACCTTATTGAAGGGCGAAAGAAAACCAAACATCTCTTAAAATATATATATATATATATATATATATATATATATATATGTACATTATTTACATTATTCGGACTATTGTCCTCATCTTTGTAGCCATATTTATCACAACGTTTCGGCCGTTGTACGCTCCGGCCTTTTTCAGCTGGTTGGAATGTCGAACTGAACCCTTTATTCTCAAGGGTACATGGCACAGTGGATAAAGGCGTTAGTTAGATTCAGTGACAGGACCCAAAGAGTGTGATTTCAATATCCGGTTAAGGCAGTGGAGGGAAATTCAGAGGGAAATTAACAGGAGATAACTGATAACTGACATCCATCAAAACATGGCACGTGGAACTAGAACAGTCTACCCCAGTGAGCGAAATAAAGGGTTCAGTTCGACATTCCAACCACCTGAAGAAGGCCGGAGCGTACACCGGCCGAAACGTTGTGATAAATATGGCGACAAAGATGAGGACAATAGTCCGAATAATGTAAATAATGTATATATATATATATATATATATATATATATATATAGTTTTTATAAATTCAGATGACAAGGTAGTGTGTTTATGCATTTCATTTAATTTTCTTTTATTGTGGCCGTGTTCATAGTTGATGATATTAAGTGTTGGCTGGTTATTGAATATTGGCTTTTCTGTGCTGACCTTGTTTTTGAAAATAAAACATTTATATCCCTAGATACGTATATAAAACATCTATAGATTGTTAAAAATAAAATAAATAAAGATCATCCTTGATAATGCTGACCGAACTGTCATAGCTGAAACACCTCTCTCGTTTTCCAAACATGGATTGAGTTGGATCTTTTCTAATTGATCTCTTTAGCTCTAAGTTGAAATGATGATCCCTCATGCTGTTGTGACCTTCTGATGCAATTTTCCTCTTTTTAAAACTTATTCACCGTTCTCTTGATGGTTCTTGAATGGACCCTGAAGATGGAAGTCAGCGTATGAATTTTGGTACCATTACTGAAGGCCTGAATGATCTTTTTCCTCTTACCATTGCTCATTTGGGAAGACATAATGGGGCTGACATAAAATGATTTTAAACCTTATTTCTAGCTGAATAATTCAAAGGGTTTTTCAGTGATTCTTACGACAAATGGGGTCAAAAGAAATTCATTTATTTTAGTGTTTATTTTAGATATTAAACATTTTGTGGGATGGACAATTATGGTGTTACACGATTTGGAAAATTTTGGTGTCCCATCCGGTATATATATATATATATATATATATATATATATATATAATATAGAAGTCAACATAGAGAGCGACAATCTGTTTTTATATGACAATCGTCAGGTCTGACCTGACGATTGCATATATCATGAAACAGACTCGTCAAGTGTTGACCTGTTCACTTTTATATTTACACACGCCTATCCCTGATATTGAGCACTTTATTCCATAAATATAGCACACCTTAAGACTATATTTCTTCATATATATATGTATATATATATAATCATCTATTCGAAAATTATAACATAAAAATGTTATAAAATCACTACAAAAATAGCCATTTTGTTTCAGCACTTCTGATGTCTTATTAAGTGAATGTAGAACTCCATCACTTGATATGACACCAGAAGTGTTGAAACAAAATGGCTATTTTTGTAGTGATTTTGTAACATATTTATGTTATAATTTTCAAAGAAATGATTATATATTCTCTGCTCTGTATTGAGCGCTGTTTTAAGAATAGTATTTGTTGGTTATTGGAATTTATTCCGTATACACAAATCCTATACTTGTGTATATATATATATATATATATATATATATATATATATATATATTAAAACTGATACATTAAAATGAGCCCATTATCTTTATTATAAAGCATATAAATGAATTACCTAAAAAAGAAACTCAGTTGTAGCCCATATATATATAGCCATTTCGCTCCTTGAGAGATTTCTCTCTTAAAGAAATTCCCAAGAGCTTGTCAATACTAAAACGTTTGATAAAAAAATGAATCGTAACATTTTTTTTTAAATTGAAAATTCAAAAAATAGGAAGAAAGAGGGAAAAAAGCTCAATGTATTTATTATAATAGAGCATATAAATTACTCAACAAAAGGCAAAATTACTTTATATAGGGGAGTATTTCAACGGACGAAACTACGTCAGTCTTATTCAACCCCGGTGTATAGACTTTGTTCGTGTCGGAATTACATATTTAACTTTGACAGCCGTCGAAAAATTGATACAGAATTTAAAAGTTAAATTTTTCCATTCGTCAGAGGATATCAGCAGTATAGACCCTTGTGCAAATTAATTGAAACAAAACCAATAATTCCGTTATTATTTCCTTTTTTTTCGTATTTTCCCAGTGCACGTGTTAATACTTCCTATGTCCATTCTACGAAGACGTTCCTGGCATATTGACCACAGATTCTTGATTGGATTTGAGTCAGGAGAGTTTCTGGGCCAGTACTTTGATTTGCTCACTGGTAAGCCTTGCCAGTGTGTTCGTGCAGCGTTGCAATTTTCGTACGATTCGTTGAAGTCAGGTTCATCGCAGACAATGGTCATAGGACAACTAATCGACAGTCGAAATAATATTGTCTGAGTGTGATGAAAATTTGATGTAACCACGGAAGAAACAATATTTTTCAAGGTCAAACAAATTTCATCATACACCCCGAAAATAGATTTATATTACTTCACACTAATATTAATGACTTAATTTGAGGAAAAATAGAAATCGATTACACCCTGTCACTCCAGTGGGTCTAAAAATTAGCGTATGATGAAAGAAAGGAAATTAATTTGCACATTGATATATAATAATAATGGACTCTCTCATCGGTTTCGACGTATGAGAATCTAACAACTTAACCAATTGATTCAGTTATGAAATTTTATGTGATAGTCTTAAGTGGCACTTAAGACCCGCTAGTGATTTACAAAGGAGGCCGCTTATAAAGCAACAGTAAGGATTGTGAGATGAGATACTGTTAGATTGGCTGGCCTTTTAGATCTTGCTCTCGCTTCTTGAAGACGATTCAGACTAGCAGATTGAAAACTGCTGAGTCCACTAAAACACGTACATCTCCATTCTACCTGCTCCAAGGCTAAGCACTCAAAGGTGTTATCTGGTATATTGACTGCTGACAAGTTGCTTTTCAGCTTGTCTTTGTATCTTAGCCATGGGCGTCCTACATTCTGTAGCCCTTATCTAACTGGCTGTACATTAGGATCTTGGGTATCCTGTCATCAGACATTCACAAGACATGAACAATGGTATATATATATATATATATATATATATATATATATATATATATATATATAAACACCCAAGTATAGGATTGGTGTATACGGAATAAATTCAATAACCAACAATTGATATTCTTAAAAGAGTGCTCAATACAGAGTAGAGCGAATATAATTATTTATTTAAAAATTATAACATAAATATAATAAAATCACTACTGCTGTCTTATCAAGTGATGATGAATGTAAAATAAAGGTTTTAAAAGGTTCAAATTAATTAACCACCCCTCGTAAATTTATTCTACTTTCAAAATCATCACTTGATAAGACACCAGAGGTGTTGAAACAAAATGGCTATTTTTGTAGTGATTTTATAACATATTTATGTTATAATTTTAAATGAATAATTATATATATATATATATATATATATATATATATATAGTTGCATAATTATAAGGACAATTGACTTTTATCTTTAAACTTTAAATATTTTGTATATTATTATATAGTATTGATAATCTGAAAGTTTCAAATAATTACTATGAGTAGAAAATCAGTTATTGTAAAATTATTCAAAAGTCGAAAAAACAATTGGTGTATAGTCATAAGGCGATTTTTTAAAAAAATTATTACAAAAGCGACAAACAACAAAAAAAATTTATAGAAATTAATATTTATTTTTTTCTGTGATTGGCTATTACTCAAACACTATTTTTTATAGAATAGATTAACTTTTGAGTGTCGTTTTGGTTAATTAAACCCCAGGTTTTCAAAATTTCACTTTTTAGCTCTTCCTTGTTATTAAATTGATACCCATTCTTGTATACTCGTCTAACCAATATCCCCCAAAGTTCCTCGATAGGACTGAGATCGGGTGATCTGGCAGGTCAATGTATAACATTGATTCGGTTAGCTTGAAACCATTTCATAGTGGAATTGGCTTTGTGAACAGGGACATTGTCTTGCTGAAACACCCAAATTCGATCACCAATTTTTTCTATAAGGCAAGAGAGCCAGTAGGCAACAAATTCTGATAACCCAAAACATCAAGTCTTGTGTCAATGAAAAAAAAAATGGAGTTTTACCTTTGAATCGGAATACCACCCAAATCATAACACTCCCTCCTCCTTTCAAACGCTTGGAAAAGATCAACTTCTCCTTTCTAAGGCCATGCCTATATCAAGGTAACCCATCCGGATCGTTCAAATTAAATTTCTTTCATCGGAAAACGCCACACCTTCCCATTGCTTGTCCGAAGTCATATGAGCTTGAAGCGCTCTGACATATGGTGCTCGCTCAAACATGAAGCGTTCATGAGCTTGCCATAACTGAATTAAGACGATCCTGTTCTCTCCAAACCGTCCAGCGTGAAATACCCAATTCCAGAGTTGCCTGGATCTTGGAACACGATGTGATGGCATTGCATGCTTCTTTTTGGATCACTTTGGCATCAATCTCACTTAATTTCTTGCTTCTTTCGGTTCTTTTCTCCATATTCTTCCGTGTTTGATAAAAAGTTGTTAACCGTTTTTGAAAGCTTAATCCTAACGGCAATTTCTCTACTACACAAATTTTCATTTTTAAGTGCGATTATTTGACTTTTTTCAAATTCACTTAATTCTGTACGCAAAGGCATAGGTTATGTCAATTTTGTTATGCTGGTGAGTTAGTAATAATACTTTATAAAATTTTAAGCGATTGTTGATTTAAATTATTTTAACTTACAGTGCTCTTTTTAAAAATGGCCTTATACACCAATCGTTTTTTGAGTTTGAATAATTTTACCATAAATGATTTTCTACTCATAGTAATTATTTGAAACTTTTGGATTATTTATACTATATAATAATACACAAAATATTAAAAAATTATCTCAATCGCTAAAGTTTAAAGATAAAATTCAGCTGGCCTTATCATTATGCACTGCACTTTAAGTTAAAATTTTAAAATTTTACAATATTTATAAAAATATTGTGTTAATAATATAAATACAGGTTTTCTCCACGTGAATAGGAGTTCACTTTTTGAATAATAAGAATTGTATGTCACGGGGGTGGGGGCATCAGGAGTTTAGAGATGCTTAGGTGGGTAATAGCCAAAAAAAAAAAAAAAAGTTTGGGAACCATTGCTCTAAAGCCTTTCACTTCGGGTAGCTCCTTGAATTTTGGTAACATTATCACCTTGCTTGAAGTATCATCACTTACACGGTACCCCTCTACCGTGAGTGGCTCTTGAGCCTTGTACAGGATACACATCACTGTAAAAAACTTCTAAATAATTTATTACTAGGTTTGAAATAGAGAAACTGCAAATATAAGTATTAGCCTTAAAGGGAAGTGATTTTTATAAAAGTAACCCAGATATCAACCTTAAATCGGAGTTATATGAAGAATGAAGCGCTAAAATGAAAGTAAAAACGGGTTGAAAAGTGAGTTTAAAAAATTATATATATATATAAAGTTAAATTCCTACTTAGAAAATAATAAATCATACTTAAAAATAAGATATATTAAAAAGATCAAAAATAAGTTACATTTAGATAATTTATATTAAATTTAAGTAAGAATATATTTAAGAAAATTATATTAAAGAATTATGTAACACAATATTCTTTATAAATATTGTAAAATTCTAAAATTAAATGATAATACTATTACATATATGCACATTCAAATTCTTAAGGAAAGATGTCCCAAGTCATATGAGTTTTGGCCCATTTGAAGCTCTCTGACATATGGTGCTCGGTCAATCATGAAGCGTTCATAAGCTTGCCATAACTGAACTAAGACGATCTGTTAAGTTCTCATCAAACCTTCCAGCGTAAAACATCTAACTCCAGAGTTGCCTGGATTTTGGAACACGATGTGACGGCATTTCTTGCTTCTTTTTTGATCGCTATGACATCCCTGTCCCTTAATTTCTTGCTTCTTCCGGCTCTTTTCTTGGTTCCATACTCTTCCGTATTTGGTAAAAAGTTATTACTAACCTTTTTTAAACGCTTAATCCTAACGACAATTTCTTTACTACACACATTTTTGAATGCGATTATTTGATCCAAAGGCATCCCCGTCGTCGTCGTCGGCATCCGTCCGTCTCGGGAGACGATGGAGTAGCGCTTTCGATGTCTTTCGACGCCGCTTGAGTGGCTACGAGCCTGGGCGGGATATATGGAGAACTAGGGCTGCCCGGACGTCTAGTGCTCCACTCTCGGCCCTGTTAGCAGAGTCCTAAGGAGAGGATAAACCAATACAGTTTGGTACCAGCGCAGCTGCAGGAGTTGACGGAAGGTAAGCACAAAGTGCCGTCCATCCTCCTTAGGGGCTCCACTCCGGGTTTGAATTCAGAGTTGTCCTTCTCCTAGGCTAGTTGCCATCCAAGGTTATAGAACCCAGTCTGTACTGCTATTTACCCATAGCTAGTGGGGGGGGGGATAAATTGGAGTCATACCTTTTCCAACTATATTTTTATCACATATATATATATATATATATATATATATATATATATAGAGAGAGAGAGAGAGAGAGAGAGAAAAGATGGATGCATCGGGCGGGATATATTGAGAACTAGGGATACCCAGATGTTTAGATCCCCGTCTCGGCCTTGCTAGTAGAATCCAAAGGATAGAATAAACCAATATATTTTGGTACCAGCGCAGTGCCGTCCATCCTCCTTAGGGGCTCCACCCTGGATTTGTGTAGGGTTTACACCTTAGCCTTTTTTTCTCCCTAAGATTTCCACAAGGCAGTGGACCTATTTAACCCATAGCTGGGGTTTAGTTCATGGGAACCAGGGCGTGTCTACACACCGGTGGGCCTGCATGCCGCATGTTAAGGGGACCAAACTCCTCTCCCGTCCCCTGTAGTTTAGTCCGAGTTCGCAAGGTGCTCGGTTGCTATGTGTCGCCACGAGGAGACACTACATAGGGCTTGCTGATGGGGAGGCTATATACTGGCAGGGGTAGACTTACGCACTCGGCTCCCCTTTTCGCATTTCTGCTAGCCAGCGGCGGTAACTGAAAGCAAGAAACGACAAACACTACCACTATAGACCACCACACTAGACGCATTACAACAGCCGTTGAGACACACGCATAAACGCATAGTTTATGTCAATTTTGTTATGCGCAAATGCTACTAAGTTATTAATAATAATTTATAAAATTTTAAACGACTGTTGATTTAAATTATGTTAACTTACATTACTCTTTTTTTAAATGGCCTTATAATTATACACCAATCATTTTTCGAGTTTTTTGAATAATTTTAAAATAACTGATTTTCTAATCATAGTAATTATTTGAAACTTTCAGATTTCAAAATTACACAAAAATATCTTGAAATACTAAAGAGTAAATTTATTCAATAAAATCACATTTCGCTTCAAATACGATCCCCAAACGACCTCGAAATCTCCTGCAACTCTTCTAGACGGTCTCCTTGATTAATTTGGTGAATGCTGTCATAATCCTTGCCTTCAGTTCATCTTTGGTGTTAACAAGGAGTTTTACATAAAGATCAATGGAATTGCAGAACTTTCCTAGAAGTATAATAGTGGCACTCTCAGAAGAAACAAGTTGGGAAAAACACATACTCCTGTATAGAACAGACTGATAAAAGTTGATTTGCTTTCTTTCAACATACCCAAACCTTTTTCCTGGTTTTTATTTCTTTTAATGCTTGTGCGACATCACCTCCAATTTAGACTCATCTTGCACTACGGCCCAATGCCTAATTGATCTCGTCTACCTAAGATGAAATCACAACGTGGGTAGGTTGTTATTTTACTTTTTTTATTATTTACTAGCAGTACATTTCTTACTGTTACATCCCCGGCATTAACAGTAAGAGATAGATCAAGTATCCACCATCATGAAGACTGAAAAATAAAATTGACAAAGATTATTGTTTAAGGTTGACGGACACGCATGTCTTAATTAGTTTTTTTTTTTTTTTTTTTTTTTTGAATTGGTCAAACCCAAACTCAAACAAAAATATTGTTTTCAATCGTTATGAGTCTACCGATTGAATAGAATTTTTCAATTTTATTATAAACAATTGTCTTGTAAATGGAATTTTAAAGCATTCTGAATGTAAAAATAAAGAAAAAAAGTGTGCAAGACAATAAGAAACACTACCTGCCAAAAAACGTGAAGTTTTGTTGAAATCAGTTGAAAAATGTAGAAATCCGATCCCATATATATACACACACACACACACACACATACACACACACACACAACAACAAACAACCTGGGTTTTATAATAAGTATAACTCGATATGAGTTGTCCCTTTTTCATTCTCGTGATGCCTCTTAATCGTGTTTTCAAATTGATTTCGTGCAAAAACAATTGTGTTTTTCCAATTTTTGGCGCTGTCAGAACCACCGCAAGGTAATTTTACGTAGTCCTGTGAAGTTTTGTTGAAATCGGTTGAAAAATATAGGAAATCCGATCCAATATATAAACGAACAGACACACACACAACCTGGGTTTTATAATAAGTATAATTATTTATACTGTATATTTTTATTTACTCTTTTCGGTTTTCGATTTTTAAATAACGTAGTATTTTTTGTTCTTTTATCGTTATATAACAGTTATAGCTATTTTTCCGTTCGATTTTTGGTTTGATTTTTATAGTCTAACTAATATTTTGGTCATAATGATTTGCTAATTTGTTTATTTATTTGGATTAATTTAGATTAATTTATTTTACTTGTTTTTATTATTTATTTATTATACTGTATATTTTTATTTACTCTTTTTGGTTTTCGATTATTAAATAACGTAGTATTTTTTTATCGTTATATAAGTTACAAGGAGTTTTACATAAAAATCAAGAGTATTGCAGTCTGGGGAGTTAGGTGGCCAGATCTAAAGGATGATGTGGTCGCAGAAATTGTTTGACAGACATGACTGGGCTCTCCGGCTTGTGTGGCATGGTACACAGTCCTGTTGATAGACATAAGATCTTCCAACAGCCAACCTCTTGACACAAAGGAGTACTACCTCCTCAAGGCAATTGATATAGGTTTCCGTGTTGAGTCTGAGGTCATGTGAGAAGATGAATGGAGGCATAACACCACCATCACTAGTGATCACTCCAAACGCCATGATGTTGACTGGATATATCATCCAACTCTTTCCGAATCCTCTGCACTGTTCTCAGATTGACATCCAGACACTATGAAATGTTCGTATTGGAGCGTCCCGCATGAATAACGTGCAGCACAGCATGCCGTTTCCAAAATTCTGGCAGAGGGAACTGCATTATGGTATGCTTTCTCTCACAGACGGTGCCCAACTGACCCTACTATACTGTGTAGTCGACAAATACAAAAACAACACACATCCGCGAAATTAAAAACATAAAATTTCAACAATTTAACCATATCATATATATATATGCATGAAACAGACTGTCGCCTCTAAGTGTTGACTTCTATGTTCACTTTTATATTTACACACGCTCTATCTCTGATATTGAGCACT